TTAGATGCTGCTTTTGCATTGCACCTTCCCAAAACCTCTTTTGAGTGCCTCTCCAATGCTTAATTAATTAAGCTTAATCAAACAATTAATTAATTAATTAAAGCATTGATAAGTCCGTCAAGACAAAAATATGTTTTCTACTTTTGTCAATAGTATATTAATGAATTAAAACCCAACTTGCATCAGATGCTTTAATTAGTCTTTGATCTATATTTTATTATTTTAATTACTTAATTATTAAGCCTCGATGAGGTTGTCTTGACCCACTATCATATAATATAATTTTTTTGGTTGTGCACGTACTTAAACAATTATTAATAACTAATCTAAAGTCAAATTGGATTAATTAAAAATTAATTAATCCTAGCTTCTTTGATTTTAAGGTATTTTTTTTAATATTATTTAATTTATTGGTTTTTGTATATAGAAAGTTGGAGTGAGGTTTGATTCCTTTAATTATTATTATTATTATTATTATATATATTTTTTAATATAATAAGACTCGAAAGTTGGGCAGCCTAAACTTATAAGAAGCATGCTTTTAATTTAAATATATGATTATATGTCTTTTGAATTAAATAATGCTTGCTTTGATTTGCATCTTTCTTACATAAATTAAATTAATGTGGGGTCATCAACTTTAGTACAAAGTACTATATATTAAATTAGTGACTAATTAAATTAATGTGAAAACTAACAAATGGCATTCGAGGTATATTTGCAAATATAATAGCATATCTTCATGCATATTTTATAGCCCATTATTTTCAAACTTTTTTAATTGGTCAATTAATACACTAAATTAATCCAATTTCAATAGTCCCTTTTTTCTTTTTGAGTTAATGGGTCATTTTTTTTTTTCCATATAAAATTTTTATAATACATGTTGTGTACAATTAAATCAATGATATCTCAATAGTAATTAAGAAATTAATATAATATTATTATGAATATACAAAGAGTCATTATGTGTTTCAATATTTTTAAAGCAATGTTTATTTAATTAAGGAATCAAACTGTAGCCACTTCCTAATCCTTTTTTTTTTTTTTTAAATGAGCTTAAATTTATTTCCACCGTCATTTTATGTATTTAAATCATGGGTTAATTTTATACACTCTTATGTCCAAGCAAATTATCAAATATAGATAAATTTTGATAAATTAATATTCTTGGGACCATGAAAGTTTATTAATTAATCGATATATTATTTAACCGTATAAATTAATAAATTATTAATTTATCGAGACATTCTTTATTTTTTATTTTTTCAAAACACTTAACTTAATACATGTACATATTATATATAGTTAATGTGCCATAGCGAATAGACGTTGGAAATAACATCATCAGCTTAGCTTATAATAAAGAGTTAATGTGATGTAAGGACTAGCTCATAGTTAATGTGATATATGAATTAATCTATAGGAAATTGTTCTCTCTTTGTAAATATCAAACTGTATTTATTCTTGTTGTATACAATTTTGATATATAAGGAGATTATTAATTTATATATCAAAGAATACATATGTGTGTGTGTCTGTTTTAAGGGGGCGTTTGGTTCAGGAATGTTAGATTACTGGGAATGTTGGATTACTGGAAAGATAGATTACCTTGAAAGATTACTGGGAATCTTTAAGAAAATGTGTTTGGTTAGTTGGTGGGTATGTTATATTAATATGGTTGGTTATGGGGAATAAATTGGTGGGTATGTTATTTAAATTACTAAATTGTCCCCTTTACAAATATTAATATAATATTATTTTTATTATTAATTTTTGAATAATTTCTTTTAACCCCCAATATTTCAGATTTAGTTAAAACACCCCTGCTTATATAAAAATTTAATTTATTACGAAATCACCCCTGGCTCCCGCCGCCACCGCGAACCACCACCGGATGTCCCCGAAAGTTCCCGTGAGTACGTCACCGTGACCAAGAGGCTCCGCTATGGCCGTTTTTGGCCATATTGATGGCCGAAAACGGCCGTATCTGGCCAGATCTGGCCGTTAAGATCTGGCCCGATATGGCCGTTTTCGGCCATCAATATGATTGGAAACGGCCATATCGAAGCCTCCCAAAGAATTTCCTTCTTTTTTAGGGACTCCGGCGATTTTCCGACGGTGGTCCGTGGTGGTTGGCCCGCTGTCGACGGTGGTGGCTGTGGTGGTCTGTAAATTATTTTAAATATAAGGGCATTATTGTCCAAATTTTTAATTAAATAAGGGTAAAATTGAAATAGGATATTAATGTAAATTTGTTTTAAAGTAAGGGTATTATTGTCCAAAACTTTTATTAATAAGGGATAAAATTGTAACAAAAAAAGATAACCCTGGTAATCTCAGAAAACCTAAGAAAATGGAAGTAATCAGATTACCTCTTATATTACCAATAGTAACCACTATTGGTATTTGAAGATTACTGGTATCTTAGATTACTTGACAACCAAACATGGTAATCAAGTAAATAAGATGACATTACCCCAGTAATCTCACTTAACCCAACCAAACACCCCCTAAATGTATTATCTTATAAATTTAGTGAATTTTTAATTTAGCACGTTGGTCTCAAGTTGGACAGACAACAAATGTTTTTTAATGAGAATTATTATTTATCGAGATTTAATTAATCTTTATTATTGAGATTAGATGCACAAGTATGGATCACTATGCACTAAACAGAATTTTTATTTATAAGTTATTGATAATGAACCAATTTTATCCCTGCAATTTGATAATCATTGGAGAAAAACATTAGAATAATGATTGGATAATGTATTAAATTAGCTGTTTAATAAAATTTATAATAATTTTCAAAACCATCCTTGTAAAAAAAAAAAAAAAAAAAAAAAAACTATCGCAATAAACTTAGAAAAAAGTGGCACATCTGTTACTTGAAGATTTTTTGATGATAGATAAAATATTTGATAATCTTATGATTAATATCAAAATCAAATTAATCATAATTAATTTGACTGATTTGAAACTGATGTCGAGGGTTAAAGAAAGCCAATTTGGTTTAGTTGTTTGACCTTTCTTGCAGTTACAAGCAACATTTTTTTTGAAAACTACCTTTGCCTTCTCTAGAAGGGATAATAACACTGCCATCCCTAATATTTAACTCAATAACTTTTAATCCAATAAAATATTTTAGTAACACTTTAATCTTTATCAGTGACATTTTAGTACATATCATTAGTATACTTGAGGATTACAATGTTAATAATAGGGATGAAAACGTTTCTAAAACGATGATTGGGTGAAAGTTAATTTTAATTTAAAATCAGTCAATCATATTTTACCACATAATGTTGTATAAAAATATTGTATGTGTAGTATTACTCTTCTAAGAAAGAGTGAATTATATTTTGATCCCTAATCTATCGTAACATGACAATTTTTACCTTTTGGTTTCGAAAATACTTAATACTAACCTCATTTTTCGAATTCAAGTGTTAACATTTAATTGTAAAAGGATGATCTTGTCAATTGATAATATTAGATTAGGTTTATTTATTTATTTTATCTCCATAATGTTAAATATGTAAGGTTTAATAAACAAAATTTTCCTTTTACTATTAAGTTTTAGTGCTTGAATTCAAATAGTGGGGGTCATGCTGGATTTTCATGAAATCAAGGGGAAAGGGTGTTTCACGATAGATTGGGGGTTAAAAAATCATTCGGCATCTAAAAATTTATTATTTTCCCACTCCGGAGAGATTAACTTATAATTTGATTCTCTAATGTGCAAAGATTTGACAAAGAATAAATAAAATTTAAATCTTAAAATTTAAGAAAATAAAAATTAATAAAAAAATATGAACAAGTGGAGCTAACTTAACGAGATCCAAGGCCACGAGTAGTTGTTAAACAACAACACAATCACGGCCCCACCCCTCTCAGTGATTGCTGCCTTGGATCGTGGCCTGCCCGCCACGTGGCCTTTCTCACTTATAATATCCCCCATACCATATGTCAACAACTATCTTCCTGGCCCCACCCTCCCTTATTACTTATTTTAGATACTGCTGCACCCGCACGCACCCTATCATCTCCCCTCTTATAGTTAACTTTACTTGGCATCCAGCGGGAGTGAAAGAGGTAAGGTGTTGACGTCAGCAAATTTAACAAAGGACGTGTTGTGATTGGAAACCATCTTGGGCCCACTTGTTCTCGCGCAACTTCAGTGATTGTGAATTTGTGATTGTGATTGTGATTGTGACTCCTCTTCTCTGCCAAATGATCCTCGGCCGTCCGATTTTGTTCAATTATATGTGATGGTAGGTGGATGGGTTGCCAGGTAGGACTCGCTTTCTGTCCACGTCGGATTTTCAATCTGACGGTACAAATTCTTCTATCTCGAAAGGATCATTTTTTATCCGTCCAACTTTTTTGATGGGTCCCATTTGGAGTTTTTGGAAAAAATAAAATAAAATAAAACTGAAATTTGACCCGCTGGAGCAGGTGAATTTGGGTCCTCAAGTCTCACGTGATTATTCTATGCTTTTTGTGGACTTTACCTTGCCCTCTTTTGATTGGCGGGCAACCGGCTTTACGTGCGACTGGTGATGAACGAGTGGGAAAATATATTTGCTTTTTGTCGCTGCGACGAATCAGGATACGACAGGTGTGAACCTTAGGTGGGATCTACTGATAGTGAATGAACCTGGCATGTCATAAAGCCCCGTGACTGGGATATGTCTCACGCGCGTAGACCGCGTGGTGAGAATGCGGATAAAGAAGATATCTTCACATATTAATATAATGTGCCACGTTGCCATTAAGTGCGCTATGGCTATATTCCATCAGACATTGACGTTTCTGCCATGTTGGCACCTGCCAGATATGACCGTCAGATCAACTTTCCATCCAACGGATAAGATCGTGTTTAAGACTAATCGAGACATCTGAGCCGTCGACTCTTGTTGGAGTAGGTTTCGCGTGAGTGAATGAGAGCATACAAAAAGAAAGAGATGAGATTTCAGCAGAAAAGAACACCAAAACCAGGTGAAAAGAAGAGACGCAACAGAAGAGAGAGAGAGAGAGAGAGAGAGAGGGGAGGTTGAGGCTCTGAAAAGATTGAATCTGAAAACAGTAAGGTTATGGTGAATTGGTGTTTGTGACTTTTAAGTAAATTGGTTGAAGCTTATGGACAGAAGCAGAGAAGCTAGAAGATCAAACATGGCGGCAACGAACGGATTGTCGAGACGTCGGCAAAGAACAAGCAGTCTTCGAGATTCACACGGTTGATAACTCTCTCTCTATCCTATGTTTTTTTTTTTTTTTTCTAGTTAAGGCATACTGAATCGGTGTTCTTACGATTTTTTTTTTATTTTTTAGCAGAAGAAGACGAAGAGATGGAGTTGCAGGATACAGTGAGGTTAAGAGATCGTGCTAACAGAAGAGATAGGGATAGGGATAGAGATAGAGAAAGATATAGAGATCGAGATTTTTCGAATCATAAGAGTCACCACAAGCGTCGGAGAGGCGATAGTTTAACCCAAGGAGAAGAAGAAAGTACAGAAGAAAGTGTAGCGGATGAAGAAGAGTATGAAATTGAGGAAAGAAGAGTAGCTCACATAATTTCTCACAACACCACTTCATATTCTTCTTCGTCTTTGTCCAATCAAAATAGTAGAAAATCCCTACCTCCGACTAGACACGGCCGGCCAACGCCGCCGGCTTTGAAGGCCGCCGATGAGATGAGTGGAGTCAAGGTCCCAAGGAAGGCCCGCTCTGGTACAAGAAATGTGGATTTTTATTTTTTTTATTTTATTTTTTTTATTGGAGACTTGGTCTGATGGGCGTTTGTGTATGGTTTTGTAGCTTCCGTGAAAAGGTCGCATGAGAATTGGGCTTCTGGAAATGGTGGATTTCGGGAAGACCATAGAGCTTCCACTTCGAGTCGGAGCATTNTGTCCAATCAAAATAGTAGAAAATCCCTACCTCCGACTAGACACGGCCGGCCAACGCCGCTGGCTTTGAAGGCCGCCGATGAGATGAGTGGAGTCAAGGTCCCAAGGAAGGCCCGCTCTGGTACAAGAAATGTGGATTTTGTTTTATTTTTAATTTTTTTATTGGAGACTTGGTCTGATGGGCGTTTGTGTATGGTTTTGTAGCTTCCGTGAAAAGGTCGCATGAGAATTGGGCTTCTGGAAATGGTGGATTTCGGGAAGACCATAGAGCTTCCACTTCGAGTCGGAGCATTGAGGGATTTGAGGCTAATTCACCTTCATCTTCTAATGTTTCAGTGAGGAAAAAGATGGTTAGTGTTGTTTTTTGAATTTGATTATTGTTTTCTGGAGGAGAAATTAAAAGGTTGACTTTTTGAGCTTTGTGATGGATGTTGCAGAAACCAAATGGACCTAAGACTCGTCTTCCAAAGGTTGCGAAATCTTCTAGCTCAGTTCAACAAGATGATATCGAGATTGAGATTGCTGAGGTTTTGTTTGGGCTGAAGAAGCAATCCCATAACTCGAAGAAGGAAGATGATAGCATGGGAAAGACAGCGCAAAATCTTGAATCGAAAGATGGTATTAGTAACAATCAAGACACAAAACCATCTGTTTCAGTTTTGGCTCAGAAAGACGGCGCTTCATCAGATCTTGGTGGCGGTGGGTATTATTTCATTTAAGCTTTTAATCCAATATCAATATTTTGTTTTTCTACCCCGCATGTGTTTATGTTTTCTTTTTCCCTTAACTATCGCGTCTGCAGCCACGAAGAAGAAGAAAGTCGAGGTTGATAATTCTTCAAACCCAGTTGGTTCCGTAGTTATGTTTGAAAGCGAGCAGCTACCGACAAAATCGGAAATATCTACACCGATATCGGAAATATCTACACCGAAATCGGAGAAAACATCTCAATTGAATGTGGCATCTTGTGAGGCTTCTAATGAAATAGATGCTCCTAAAGTTGCATTTGTGATGGTGGAGCCACAGGAAGAGCTAGCCAGGCGACGTGATGTAAAACTATCAATTGAAGGATCAGATTGCCCAAACGGTCCAGTGACAGAGAAAAAACCGATTTCGGCTGATAAAGATTCTTGTGCTACCTGCTGTAAAATGGATTCGACAGTGACACAAGCGTGAGCATCAAATAATATTTGCTTTTTCTCTCTTTTTTCTTTGAGAATATGATAGTTTTCAATTTTTTTTCTTAATCTTATTTCTCCTGTAAATTCTCAGGAGTTCAACTGTACTGGAGACTGGGAGCCTAAACGTTGAGAAGTTCAAGATTGATCTGATGGTGAGGTACCTTCTTGTCGCATTCCGGATTAGATTATCGTTGCTATTTTGCTGTCAGATTTCTGAAGAAGAATAGTGCCTTTCAACAGGCTCCTCCTCCTATGGTATTATCTCCTGAACTGGATGGCTTCAATGATTTCGCCTCATATCCTACAAGTACGGCCCAAGATATCAATATGGTGAGTAGAATCAGTGACTCACTCTTTAATAATCTTTGTTGATATATATATATATTATTTTTTTGCTTTCTGGTAATTTAATAATCAATGCTTTTTTTTTTTTCTTTTTATTGTGTAGAAATCTTTGGTTAAGGACGAAGAAAAGGCAGAGAGGTTTGTGAAGAAGGAAACAGCAGTACAGGAAGTCGAAGAAAAGAAGATTGAGCCTATTGAAGGGAAGAGCAAATCGAAGTTTGATTTTGAAAAGCCAAATCAAGATGATGGAAGAGATAATGCCTGTAAATTACAACAGCAGAGTCAAAAGCAGGAACCACCACCTAAATCTGGAGTTCCTAAAGTGGAAAAAACAGGTAATTTGACGATTTTGGTCTTCCCTGTTAATATGAGTTGACTTGAATTATGATTCAATAGATTCATTGATGCTATCTTGTGCTTTGTTTCAGGTCAATCCGGTTCAGTGCCTTTTCATGTTGCTGTAGCTGGCTGGCCAAATGGTCTTCCACCTCTGGGGTGAGACATCTATTCCCTCGTTATGTATCTGTAATTTTTTTTTTTTTTGGGTTTAATATCGTGCAGTAAATATTGCTCCATTATTAAGAAGCAAATTTATGACCAGATACATGCCTCCATTTCAAACAATTATGTCCATGGATGGAAGTGCCAGATCTGCCCCAACTCAGCAGGTATGTCATTGTGTCATGCAAAGTTAAGCTTTTCATAATATTTTTTTCTTGGTTCATTTTTGGTAACTGTTGATATTGGATTTGGCATTGAATAATTGAAACATTCAGCCTCCCCAGTTTATGCTCTCTCAACCTCGGCCAAAGAGGTGTGCTACCCACCATTATATTGCTCGAAATATATACTTGAATCAGCAGTTTGCAAAGATGAACCACTTATGGCCAGCCGGAGCTAGTTCTACTTCTTTAATTGGGGCCAAATCCAACAGTCTCAATGTTATTCCCTCCACTGAAAACTTAATTCATGGAAACCAATTGCAAGGAAGCTTTCCGGTTGTGAACCTCAATTCTGTGCAGGACAAAGGGCAGGGTACGACCAACTTTCCAGGTCTTACTCAGAAAGATAAAAGCTCTGAGAATGCAAGTTTAATGGACCCAGCACAGAGAAAGCAGCTAGTGCTTCAACAAGCTCCACATCCTGCCCCAGCTGGTAACTTTTTGGTATGTTCTTTCCCTTACATTTTTGGTCATGATAATTTTGTGAGCTTCAAAATTTCTGTAAAATTTCAAATTGTTATTTTGAAACTTTTTACTTTGATCTGTAGCATGCCCCTGCTTTCATCTTCCCTGTAAGCCAACAACAAGCAGCAGCAAATCAATCTGGGCCTTCAAAATCTGCTGCCTTGGCCAAAAGTGCATCATTCTCTGGTAATTCAACACCTGCAATTCCGGTAAGCTCTACAGCATTACCAGCAGTAGCTGCAGCTGTGAGTTATAATTACCCAAATATGGCAGCCAATGGAGCACCTTACTTGACCATAGTACAGAATGAAGGGTTTCCATTTCCTGTCCCCACCCCTATTGGAACCCCACCAGCAGTTAGAGGCCATGCTCAACCATTGCCTTACTTTAATGGGTCTTTCTATTCATCTCAGATTTTTCATCCTTCTCAAATTCAGCAGCAACAGCAACCTCCCTCACAACCTTTAATACAAGCAGCTTATCAAAATACAACCACTTCAAGTGCCTCATCATCATCTCACAAGCAAACGCAGTCTCAGCAGCCACGTGGGGGACCAGTTAGTGGTAACTTATTGAGCTCAACAAGCATGCTACCACATCAGCAGCAAAAACAGCACGTGCCACCATCCAATCAAAATCGCAAGCTTGAGCCTGAGATGAGTGGGGAGAATGCCCCCTCACTTGCTGATAGCCGTGCCTCTCACAATCAAACGAGTGTGTATGGTCAAAACTTCACAATGCCACTTCAGCCCCTAAACTTTGCCTTGATGCCATCACAAATTGTTGGCGGTGCAGGTCCTGGTAATCATGGTGAGAAGCAGCAACAATCACAGCAGAAGAGTTTAAAGGGTGGAGTTGAGCTCATCCCTCCTCAGGCATTCGCCATGTCATTTGCATCCTTTGGTGGAAACAATTCTGCTTCAAACCTTAATTTCTCATCTATGGCCCAAAATCCTGCAATCTTTCAGAGCCTTCCAGATATGGCCCGGCAAGGGTACCAGGTTTCACCCGCAGCTCAGGCTGTACAGCAGAAAAATCACCAAATATCTGAGGTGAAGAGTGGAGGAGGTTCATCGAATCATGATGATGGAAAAAAAGCAAGTTTCGGGAAGTCACCTGCTTCAAATGGACAGACACTTGTTTTTGACCATTCACCTAGAACTCTGAACTTTGTTTCATCCCCAGTTACGGGAAATTGGTCCTCACGTCCCATTACTGCGACTACAATAACCACAAATGCCTCTGTCGCTGCTAATTCTCAGAATTTCCAGCAACAGCAACTGCTTCAGCTCCATAAGCAGCAAATGTTGCAACATCCGCAACAATCTGCTGCAGCAGCTCGAAGTAAAGCTCCGTCAACCAACCTGTCTTCATCTTCCATTGCCACCAAGCTCTCGAATAGTGCTCCTATGTTCCCACAAACTCTAGTCCAAAGCAACAGTTCTGGTCAATCACCCCAATGGAAGAACTCAACAAGAACCCAAACTTCTCAAGTTCCTCCAACATCACTGGGATCATCCAATTCCCCAACTCTGAAGAATGTTTCCCAGCAGCAGCAAGTGAGATCCCCACAAGGCCGTACCCAGATATCTTTCGAAAGAAATTCCAAGTCTGGCTTGGCACCCCAAGGGCAACAAATACCCACTAGCAGCCAGTCTCCATCTCCCCTAGTTGTTGGATCTTCGCCAAGTGCCGGAAACCTGAGAACTAGTTCCACCAGCAGCAAAGCTGGCTCATCAATTCCATCTTTGCAACCACAGCAAACTGAGAATTCTTCAGCTAGCTCTGGCCAGAAAAACTCCCCTGTTTGTGGAAGAAACGTACCATCCATCTTGAGCACGTGCCCCAGCCACCTCTCTGAACTCAAGTACTAAACCCTAGATGCAGCAAGAATGCAGGCCCAAAATTTTGTCCAGAATGCCACCATTTTAGTCTCCTGCACATTTTTGACTGCCCACACGTGGGTTTCTTGCAGACATACCAGAAGAGGTGGAAACGAAAGAATGAGCACCAAGTAAAATTACAGTTGCAATAAGATAAAGATTCAGGGAGAGTCAGTCATCTTCTGACAAGATCGTACTGGTACAGAATTTAAAGTGGAGACTGGGGACCTGCCAATATTTAAGGGGAATATGGTTGGCCTGATTTGATACTAATATGTATATAATTTTTAATCTTTTGCATAGAAATTAGAAACTAATCGTTCTAATTCATTATTATTATTATTATTATTATATTAGTATCTTAAACTAATCTTTCTCTTTTCATTTTGGGATTATTGAATGGACCCTTTGTTTGGCATATTGTTAAAGTCAAAATAGAGAAGAAAATCTTGAAGATAGTAGAATTGTTGAAAGCTAGAAGCGATTGATCTTATTGGTCTAATCTTGTTTCTGTTTTCTTATCTCTTGTACCTACCTTTGCTTTATCCGATTTTTGGGACCAACTTGCTTTGCATTCAAGCCACGCAATACCCAACCCACAAAAAGAATTCGCTCCTATTTTCGTTCAACTTACACTTTATTACAATGGATTTAGTGTAAAATGTATTAGTCAGATGATGAATGGGAAAGCCAAACAGTTTGACTATAAAAAATAAATTGTTACTTTAGATGCCTGAGGGGGAAATGTGTTATCTTATGAAACCTTAGGGGAAAAATCGTGATAAACTCTTCAACTTATTGTAGTTGTTTCAAACTAGACTGAGCAAGTTCAACCACAGGCATCCTGGCATCTCTTTCTGAGATGTGAAATCACGTGCCTGACTTTTTGGATGCTAGTTTTGTAGTAAGCACATGGTGGGTTCTTCTTCTTCATTATCTTCCCCCAAGAATCATATAAAGAGTGAAATTGTAATCGTACTGATAGCAACCCATGGGTCCCCGGTGTCTTAAAGTTCTTAAAAAGCTTTGCCACTCCACCAGTGTAAGTGGAGGCTGATATTTTTGCCATTGCTGATTCTGGGAGCAAACCATGATGCTTATTACCTTTGATTTTGTGAATTGTTCATGGGAAAAATAAAATAAAAAATAAAGCAATTTTAAACAGAATTCTTTATTCAAATGCAGAGCATTTAGTTGGTGGAGACAAATTCAATATCTTGGGTTAAATCACTTCTACTTTTTTCTTACGTGAGATGACATATATATATATATATATCAAAGAAATGCAGATTCCTGGGTAGATAAAAAGGTTTAAATACCACATTGATTGGTCGGTAAAGATTCCACCACCAAAAAATTGGAGTTACAACCTAGCCTGAAGGAACGTAGCCCATGAAAGATATCTTCTTCTATCACCAGGTGAAATAAAAAAGTTATATTTAATTATTTTAATATGGTAAACTCCAATCTCACTTTCCAAACGCGATTTTAAACCTGGAGTTACTATTGAACCCTACAATCTTAAAATTGAACTTCTTACTGAGTTGTTTATTTAAAAGCTACCAATTGGCTGCTGGATTTCGCCCTGCAACTAAAAGAAGATTGCTCGGGGTCAGCGTGGCGCGGCTGACTGTAGTGCAGTTCGCCTCTACAACCTTTGATCAGTACATTATTTAGAACTTCCGAAGATTGTCAAGGTTTTTATTCCAAGCTACTGCAATAGATGTATATGTAATCATAGTAGTCGGCCCAGAATGCCTCTGTTCTATACTTCACACCAGGGAACCAAATCACAACGGAATGAAACTCTCATTGCTCTTCCATTTACTGAAATTCTGTCTCTCTCTATCTTGGGAAATTATGGTCGACCCANGTACAGCAGTTCGCCTCTACAACCTTTGATCAGTACATTATTTAGAACTTCCGAAGATTGTCAAGGTTTTTATTCCAAGCTACTGCAATAGATGTGCATGTAATCAAAGTAGTCGGCCCAGAATGCCTCTGTTCTGTACTTCACACCAGGGAACCAAATCACAACGGAATGAAACTCTCATTGCTCTTCCATTTACTGAAATTCTGTCTCTCTCTATCTTGGGAAATTATGGTCGACCCAACTGGATGACCTGGGCCTGAAGAATAACAGATGAAGTAGAATCCACTGAAGGCATGATTCTAATTCTGAACCAAGTGCATGTGAGAGCAAGCCACACGCCTGACTTCTTCAGTGTACTTCATCATTTCAAACTGTTGACTATACATTTCTTAAAGGGTCTGTTGAATATTGTATTATTGGAAAATGTTATATTACTGGAAAGATAGATTATTAAAGGTATTGTATTATTGGAGAATGTTATATTACTGGAAAGATAGATTATTAAAGAATTGTCCTCCGTTTTTAAATAACAATAATAATATTATTATTTTCTTATATTATTTTTTAAATTATTTATTTTAAGCTCTTATATTTGAAATTTTGCTAAAATATGCTAGCCATATAAAACTTTAATTTATAGCAAAATCACCCCCACCCACCCCAAGTCATTGCTAGTAGCCAGTCACCACTGTCGGCAGCCGCCGTAATGGCACACGACCGATTGGATCTGACTGGTCGTGCGCCGATAAGGCCTAATCTGGCCATGGATCTTTGATCAATGGCTAAAAATGGCTAGATCTGGCCGTGAATATGGTCGTTTCACTGCCAAAGATGCAGCCGTGAAACAGTGGCCATTTCATGGCCAGATCTGGTCGTTTTCGACCATGAATCACAAATCCATGGCCGAAAACGTCCTTACCGGCATACGACCGGTAAGATCCTACCACTCTTGCGCCTATATGACGACTTTCGCCGACGGCCAACGATGGTGGCTAACGGCCGATGGTAGTCTTGGGTGGTTAGAGGTATTTTGTTAACTTTTACACTTTTTTGTAGCTAATGTGTTTTAGCTAAATTCTCAAATGTAGGAGGTCTGAGCAAATTGTTATTTGGTAGACATAGAAGGGCAAATGTGTCTAAAATGATAAAAGATTAAGGACAAAATAAAGTCAAAATTAAGATTACCTCAGTAATCTTATATTAACACCCCTTAGGAAGGTAATTTGATTACCCTTAATATTACCAACAGTAAATACTATTTACAATAAAAGATTACGTAATATTTTATTACTTAACAATTAAACAAGAGAATCTTGAAAATTAAACAAAGATTACATGATTAATCTTATATCACCCCAAGAACGAAACCAAAGCAACGTAAATAAACTAACTTTGAGTATATGACGTAGGGATTCATGAAATTGAAAAGTTTCTTTCAATGAATATTTTGTAAGCACTTGTGGTCCTTCATTGATGTAGGATACTATAATTGATGTTATCTGACGTATGTATTGCGATATACTATATTATAAAAGCAATTACTCAAAGTCAAGAGATACAAGTTCTAAACCGTACAGTTAAAAGATGAGAAGATTTAAAAAAGAAAAAGATTACTTATTTACTTCTGAACGAGAGATGCAAGATTGAGCTCAATGTCCTCTTTGGCTTTCTTATCAAATGGATCCTCCCCGAAATACAGATCCATTATTGAGCGACACAAGAGTTTGCTCTGGATACTTCCCACCTCCTTACCATCAACTGCAGAATTTATACAAATTTGAATTTCAAATTAGCATTTGATTGTTTTATTCCTAGCATAAATAGACAAGGGTCAAGCATAAAACAAACTCTTCCCTTCTAGTCTAGCAAATGTTAATCCTTAAAACTAAAATTTCATGTGCCAAAGAAAACAACCCACTTCTTATATTAAGCCTGAACCTTAAATAAATCCTATCACTCAGCTTCTAAGCCAAAGAAACATCATGACCGGTCATCCTCAATCAAAATTTGGTGTAATATAATGTTAGTCCAAATTCCATGGCAGTTGTCTCAACATTCCAATATGAACGAAAAACCACAGGACCAATGAAAGAAAATAAACAGTCTATTAGCTTTATTATCTAAGCTCAATCATAGAAAACACGAATACACTTTACTTGTTGTCCGAAGTACATGGCCTGGTTCCTTTGAAAGATCTATGACAGATCCCCGTGGTATTTTGTATTCATCTTTAAACTGAGAAGTGAACCTGCAATCAAATGCGCCATCAGATTAGTCTGAACAACAATAACACTTTTTTTGATGGAATCACCAGTGAAGCATTAAAGAATGCTATTTCACACCTTTGAAGCAATTCTTTATTATCCGATCCCCCAAACTTCTGGAGTCTGCTTCCAACAGACTCTTCAAAAGCACTTCGAACAGAACCTATGCTTAATTTACTGTAAATAATTTGAAGTCTAACAGTCATGCTTATATCAGCTTCCAAAATATCATCATTAAACTCCTTGTTTTCCTTCAGTTCAGAAATGGATAAATTCCCATATTTCTCCCTCAGCAATTTCTTCACATCACCATGATCAGCATATACACCTGTACAATTTACAAATACATAATTTCACAATGATGCTGAACAATCAAACTCAAAAAATTAAATCTTTTTATAAAATTGAAGTCTGCATTGTGCATTAATAGAATTGAAGAAACTAAAAAATGAAAGAAAAAATTGTTACCAAATGCATAGACATCAATGTTCTTCAATCCCAAGATTCTTTTTTTCCTCAACCCGATTCCGAGAAGTTTCCGAGAACCGCCGAGTTCGGAAGGAAACGAGACGCCGGTTTTGGAGTCAACAACTGTAGCTGAAGAACTGTCAGCAAAAGAGAGAGAAGCCCAGAGGTGGGAGGAGGAAGGATTGGCAAAGAGAAAATTCAGGGCGTTCTCGACAAATGGGTGTTTATGGTTTCGGTAGGCGGCGATGCCAGCCACTGCGGCAGTGGCGGAGGCGGTAGCAACGGCGACGGCGACGGAGATAGGGCGGGAAGTTCCATGTGTTGGGTTGGTGGTGTATTGGTGATTTGTGGGTTGAGAAAACAAGAATGGAAACCTCAGTGAAACCATCGAAATTAGAAAAATGCTTTTTTTTTTTTTTTTTCTTTGTTATCATAAATTAATGTAAATAAGTTGGGTTTTATATAGTATGAATGTGTCACGTGGAAGCACGTGAGAGTAATTAGGTATCTTTGTGGTGGGCCGTGGAGCTTGGGTTGGGCCTTCGGCTAAAATTGCAAAATAACACTTTATAGAGTGATATTTGTAAGCTTCATGCTTCAAACGAAATTAGATCCTTTTGCATAAAGTGATGATTTAAATTGAAATACAAATTCATGGTTATAAATTTATTACAATATAACGGATATGAGATGGAAGTTGGAGATAGTTATTTTTATTGTCACCTCATTAACGGTTGAAAATTCATATCAATAATTTAAGTAAAATATTTAGGTTTAAAAATCCAATCCCATTAATAAATGGTTAGATATCAATATAGTTTTTTGTTTTTATTTTTTTAATTTAAAATGTTAAGACAAGTTTTCAATCTTTGATATAATACAATAAAAAATGGGTAAATAGAAAGTCACAAATAATTATTTTATGAATCATTGTTCTTGCCTGAAACCTTGAAATAATCGTTAATTAAAAATAGATTGAAAAAGAAAGAGCGAGAGAGAAAGAGAGGCAAAGCATGCATGGGACAACAATCCAGAGTTTGACTGATTCCATTCCATGCAGCTAATGTTCACTTCGTCGGTTGTATATAAATATTTACATAGGAGCTTTGGCTATGTATTTATTTTAATTTTTCTGTTCACAGCAAAAATAAATTAAACATCAATATGGCTTCTGGTTCTACGAATCTTTTTGTTGGCTTCTCTCCAGTGGTTTCCGGTGTGCCACAATCTCATTTCTTTAACGTCAATTATCTTCCCCCAAAATCTCTCCTTTTCTCAAGTAAGTTCTTCTGTACGTTGATTGTTTATATATATATATATACATATATATATGTATGTATAATGTATTTCTATTTTTCTTTTACATGGTTTAACGGTATTTTGATATGCATGAGTAACGTGTATACACACATGCACAGGTAAAATCGAAGAAGAAGAAGAAGAAGAAAAAAGTAATCTAATGCTTGTCTAAAAAATCGACTTAAATTAAGATATGAGTAAGGTATAAATTCGAAGAAAGTTTAGATAAATAGAATACAAGGGTATGAATACACCAGGAAAAATAAAAATAAAAATAAAATGTTTTGTCATTTATAAATCAAGAGAATGAGAAAGAAAGATAATACTTAAAATATGAAAAAAAAAAATAATCTAAAATAATAATAGGCTTTTTAAAAGTTTTACTGGTAGATAGATCGTGCAAAAGAGATCATTTTGATACCATGTCAGAATCCATCACAAAACTAGTATACTTTATAATTACATAATAAAAATTAATATACTGAAGAACATAAGAAAATTGCTATATACAATCGTTTATTTGGGGAGTTTTTTTTTAAAGAAATAATAAATATCATTTTAAAGGTGGACTTTATAAGTTTATTATAGGGGTGTCTTTGTAATATTTCTATAAAATGCATTTTTTAAGATAAATAAAATGCTTTTTTTTTTTTTTTTTTGTTCGTTCAGAAAACCCTCGAACAATTTGTAAAAAATCATTGGTAAAGTGTTTCATTCTATTGAAACAATTATGTATATATCAAACTGGAAAAGAAAAAGATAAAAAAGAAACTAATTAATTAAAAGAAAAATATATTTAGCAATAGTTTTTGTAGTTTCACTACTTATTAATACCGTTCAAGCTTTTATGATCGGATTATTAATTTGTCAAATTCATTTAAATATTTTCAATAGTTTTTTAATCAAGACTATATTTAATCGTTAATTAATGATATTTTAATAAATTTTTAGTAAAATATTTATAATAACTTAATAATTAAATGCAAATAATTTGAGATTCATTTATTTCTTTTATATTTTAATCTTAATTTTTGAATATATTTGATATTCTGATTTTAGGATTTTTGGTAATAATCATATATTTTATGTAACACTCTAGTTTTAGATGGGACGTTAGTTTAATAAAGAAGTGGTAAGTTTCATAAAGAGATTGGACAAAGTCTATAATGTATTGTGTATATCATATTATTCATATATCAAATCAATATATATATATATATATATATACACCAAGAAACTAAAGAAACAGAAAGTAGTTGATAAGATTAATTTTTGTGTCTATTTTAATTATTATACAGGAGTTCGGCCGTCCGAGCTTGAAGACAAGATCAGAATTAATATTTACATTTGTCCAAGATGCAGTAACAATAATAGTTCTAAATCCGGTCGCATCCAAGGTACAATGTTGATAGTTATTAATTCATGCAATTATAAATTACTAGTCTGTATATATATTCATCCAAGATGGCTTAGTACCAGTGATAAAGTGGCATGAGACTGAGATTTTGGAAGATGACATTGAAGAGGAAGCAGTTAAGGTCATTTAAGCACAAAACTAACCATTTTTTTTTTTCTTTTCTAGTTAAAAAAAAAAAAAAAAAAAATGATTAAAACATAATGTACTGATGTGATTACTTTGTTTAGTGTGAAAAGGCTTCTTTACCAAATGAGATCAAGGAACGAATCCATATTGTTAGATCCATGTTGGGTTCCATGAACAATGGAGAAATAAGCATTTCGGCTTATGACACAGCCTGGGTTGCTCTTATTGAAGATACTCAAGGCAGTGGTGCTTCTCAATTCCCATCTGCCCTTCAATGGATTGTCAATAATCAACTCCCGGATGGCTCATGGGGTGATGCTAAAATATTTTCTGCTCACGATCGCTTAATCAACACCTTGGCTTGTGTTGTAGCTCTAAAATCATGGAATATCGATCATGAAAAGTGTCAAAAAGTTATCTAGAAAAAGAAGCGATTTGTATTTTTTTTTTTAAATACTTGATGGTTAGACTAACAATATATCGATATGTCACCTTTATCATGGTTTTAGGATTGTCATTTTTCAAAGACAACATATCCAAGCTTGAAAATGAGAATGATGAGCACATCCCTATCGGCTTTGAAATTGCTTTCCCTTCCCTTCTAGAAATAGCTCGCGGTTTAGGAATTGAAGTACCTGAACACTCTCCTGTCTTGCAAGACATCCATGCGAAGAGAAATTTAAAGCTCACAAGGTTAGATTCTAACTTAATACTTTCATTGTGAGTGACAATTTTTTCGTAGTTTTCGTCCACTGGGTTGTTGTTTAATAATTTAAGTCACCAAATGGCTGGTTATTTAAGATTATATTCGGGTAATCATCCTCATATCACTTACATGTGAAATAGGATACCAAAGGACACAATGCACAATGTACCGACAACACTATTGCATAGCTTGGAAGGAATGCAAGACCTGAACTGGGAAAAGCTTCTAAAATTGCAATTCCAAGATGGTTCATTTTTGTTCTCTTTATCCTCCACTGCCTATGCATTCATGCAGACGAAAAATGAAAATTGCTTGAAATTTTTAACAAAAGTTGTCCAAAGATTCAATACCGGAGGTATAGAAAAGTCCTTTGTCAATTATTGACTTGAAATTACTTTCCATACATGTCTAGTTTCTAAATAATCTTGATCGATGTACTTCAATTTAGTACCGACCACATACCCAGTTGACTTGTTCGAACATCTATGGGTGGTGGATCGCTTGCAGCGACTGGGAATTTTAAGATATTTCCAACCGGAGTTGAAAGAATTTATGGATTACGTTTACAGGTACATATTATTCGCTAAAGAAGTAATTCTTTTACTATAATTGCAACCCATCTATGAAAAGGAAATTCCTTCTGCTAAAGGGTACTTAATTAAATTTCAGATATTGGACTGAAGAGGGTATTTCCTGGGCAAGAAATAGCAGGGTTCAAGATATTGATGACACAGCCATGGGATTTAGACTGCTAAGATTACATGGCTATGAGGTTTCTGCTGGTAAGTTTAGGAAATTAAATAAAAAGTTCTCTGAAATTAGTACAATATTGTGTTGCATAGATTATCGTGGTCTTATTGTTCTTTCATTGACCAGATGTTTTTCAGAATTTTGAGAAGGGCGGTGAGTTCTTCTGCTTTGGTGGGCAATCTACCCAGGCTGTTACTGGAATATTCAACCTGTTTCGGGCTTCTCAGGTGCTATTCCCTGGAGAGAAAATCCTTGAGAACGCCAAGCAGTTTTCAGCAAAATTTTTAAGAGAAAAACTGGCAGCTAATGAGCTCCTAGATAAATGGATTATAACCAAGGACTTGCCTGGTGAGGTACGTGCGGAGGCAATGTGTGTAAACTTTCATTTTTTCTGTTATATTTAGAAGTGCAGCCTTAAACTATTTTTGTTATTAAAGGGTAATGTTTTCGTATCAATACACTTATTACTTTAAAAATATATTACTAATTTAATTAACTTAATCCATTTTAATTAATATAATTAATATAATATCTTATATCATAACAGATTATTTGACACTTTACGGATATTAATTAATTCTTTCAATTGTATATATGTATATCAGACCATTTAATAATTGATAATAACAGGTGAGCTTCGCATTGAAGGTTCCATGGTATGCAAGCTTGCCTAGAGTGGAGGCGAGACTTTACATAGAACAATATGGCGGTGAAGATGACATTTGGATTGGCAAGACTTTTTACAGGTTTATTCTTTTATTTCTTTATCCCTTATTTCATTTGTCTTGATTTTAACCAAGAATCTTTATTTGTTAATGCATATGTCCGATAGTATTATTGAGAGGACGCATCCTGATTAATTCAATGATTTAATTTATATACTAATGGCTATATGATTACCCTACAGGATGCCCTACGTCAACAATAACATCTATCTTGAGCTTGCGAAATTAGACTACAACAATTGCCAAGCACGACATCAGATTGAATGGGACAGTATGCAAAGGTATATATATATATATATATATATACATATGATATTCCTTTCTTCTAACAACTCAAATCATGTTAATTTTCCTCAAAAAAACATGCTATGATATACAGGTGGTACAAAGAATGGAAGCTTGACAATTTCGGAACTAGCCGAAGAGCCCTTCTCTTGGCGTACTTTGTAGCAGCAGCCAGTATATATGAGCCAGAAAAATGGCAAGCGCGAATTGGTTGGGCTAAGACTGCAGTCTTGTTGGAGACAATCACTTCTTATTTTCACAATACAAAACATTCTAGAGAAAAGAGGGAAGCCTTCGTTGATGAATTTAGAAACTGTATTTCTATCAACAACTTGTCCCAGCTGTAAGTAATCATTGGAATTAACGTGAAGAACTATTTAGATTTAAGATTTCACTAAAATTCGTGATTAGCAATTATTAAAGAGAATTTACTCCTAATGCGGGTTTAAGATTTGTGTCCCTATACAATTTTCAATAAATTAACATTGAAAGGCACCATTGAAAGTTGCTTGAAATGTGATTTCTGACATACAGGAGGTTGGAATCGGATATAATAGAACAGAGGTTCACTCGGATCTTGCTTGGGACGCTTGACCACCTTTCATTGGACGCACTAGTGAATCAAGGTCGAGACATTAGCCACCATTTACATCAGGCTGTAAGTAATTCATTTATTGCACAATTTGATGTTCAAAATTTTCGATCACTCTGAATTCTTAGATTCTTTATGATCTTGAATTGAAGCTTAAAACATGAACAAACATTTTTCTTGAAACGAACCAAAGTTCATTCAACCGCCAAAACCAATGTAATCGGTTCTGCCCACTACCCAGAAACTCATCCTAATGTGTTAACTCTTCTGTTTCTTCTCTCTCTCTCTCTCTCTCTCTCTATATATATATATATACAGTGGGAAAAGTGGCTGATAAAGTGGCAAGATCAGAATGGGGATATGCATCAAGGAGAAGCAGAGTTACTTGTAAACACAATAAATATAATTGCTGGCCGCTGGTTCTTAGAGGAGCTGTTGCATCATCCTCAGTATAGGCAACTCTCAGACCTCACCAACCGAATTTGCAGCAAACTTGGTCATTACCAGAAGCAAAAGGCCAGTCTTAGAGACATCAATATAAACTAAATAAGGACAAATTGCTAATTCGCCATCTCTTACAAGATTTTGTTGCACTCTTATATTTTCTATTTAGCCTTTCATTGCATCCATTCTTAGTAAGGTTTGCTTAGCATTAAATCTATTAAGACCTCCCCTTTCTCTATTCAAATTTAATTAGCTTCTAATTTTGTTTCAGGTACATGACAATGGTAGCAATAATGATAATAACGATAGCATCAGAATGTTACAGATAGAGTCTGAAATGCAAGAACTTCTGCAGTTAGTGCTCAAACATTCCTCAGACGACATTGACTCTAATGTTAAGCATACATTTCTGATAGTGGCAAAGAGTTTTTATTATACTGCTTACTGTAATACCGAGACTATTAACTTTGACATTGACAAAGTACTGTTTGAGAGAGTGGATTGAATCTCTATCTACACTTCTATCAAAATTAATGTGAAAGGGAAATAATATTGAAACTCGCTTTCATTTATAGTAACACAGTGAGTATATCTTCGAGATCAAACCATTGACTTCCTTTGATGGGATTATCGCTCTAACTTAATGTTCCCTGGATTATTTTTGCCAAGACAAATGGGAATTGGGTACCATAATGAAGTGTTCCTGAAACAGGTCGGTTCTTGATTCCAATTGCTTAATTAGGAAATAGGAAATAATCCCAAAGTCAGCAGAAGTTAAAACAGTAAAAAGGAAAAGCACATGCATGATGATAGTGTTCACTAATCACACTAAAACAATGAAAATAAAAATAATGTGGTCGTGATAAGAGCGGGAATTGGAATCATAATGAAGTGAAAGTTAATCATATTGATCAATTTGGTGGGATTTAAAAATATCTAAAACTAGGAGACACGATAAATTTGGTAGGGCTAAAAATCACTTTTTAATTATTAATTTGGTTGATGGTTGAGATGGGCCTCAGCATACATGATACATGTAACTGACAAAAAGTGTTTCTAATTAAAGCACCTCTTGTGTTGAGAATCTCGTCATTAAGCAGAATAGCAGATAAGCTAATCGCTTAGTGTTGCCAGAAATCAGGTTTGGAGTAAATTGATTTTTTTTTTTTTTTTTGGCTAAGTGAGTAAATTAATTTCAAGAACACAATCAAATTTTCTGTTGATTATTGCGAAGAACAATTTTGTCGTTGGAAGAAAGCATCTATGACTTCTGAGTTCAAATACCGTATGGGTTCTTGTTTAAAATATGAAACCATCTTATTGTTAATTAAAACAAATAAATTATGCTTTATGCTTTATGCTTTATTATTATTATTTCTTTTGCAAACCAACGCATTATTAATTGAAAATTATGACTGAGGGCTCTTTATAATAAAAGAAACACAATAATTTGTTATTATAAAATTTGACTATCACATCTCTACTACAATAATGAACCAGCATGAGTTTTATTTACAGCTGATAAATTCAATTACTGCATGCCTCAAACACGTATATGATAATTAAATTAATGTTATGACCAATATATTTTGGTTAATAAACAGTAATTAATTTTCTTTTTCAAATTAAATTTTACATAATATGAAATCATTGGTTCACTGTATCACCAACATATATACACTCTATATATGCTTTGGCCTGTGAATATATTTTCCTCTACAAAGCAAAAGAAAACATATATTTCAACATGGCTTCCCAATTCTCCAATCTCTTAATTGGCCTTTCTCCAGTCGTTCGCGGCACACCGCGATCTTCAACTTTCTCTAACGTCAAATATCATCCCTCAAAGCCTCTCTTTTTCTCGAGTAAGTTCTTCTGTTGATCCTTTTTCTTTCCTTTTCAACCGATGCCTTGATGCATGGACATACAACAATGGAGAGTCAAGAATACACAAACGTAAAATTAAAGAAGAAGAAGGAAAGAAAGAATACACACACACGCACACACACATATATATATATATTCGCTTTTACTATCATGCTTTATATTTCATGATGATGGCGGCATTGTGTATTCCTTCTAAACAATTAATAATCTTTGTCTCATTTTTATCTATTGTAGGTGTTTGGCCGTCCCGCCTTGAAGGCAAACGAGTTCACTCCGACGTTTGCCCAAGATGCAGTAACAGTAGTTCTTCATCGGAAAATCACATCCAAGGTAAGATGTAGTAACGGATCTTACATCGAAGTTCATTAATACTGCATAAATACATTGATAACATATTTCTCAGATGGTACAAGTATTATTGTCTATTTAATAAAATTTTATCTTCAAGAATATGCAGATGTGTTGCACAATGACCTACTACCAGTGGCTGACATTGAAGAGGACGCTCTTAAGGTTATTTGAGTACAACAAATTTTTTTTTTTTCATCGTGAACTCAAAAAAAAAAAAAAAAAAAAAAAAACTGAAAAATATGGTTTATTGCTTTTGTTTCAATTCTTGTGTGTTAATACAACTGCATTTAGTTGCTATAATTATATATATGAAATTTAATTAATTGGCTGCTCCCAGTTACAAGTGAAAATCTGCCACCATCAAAGTATATTAGCCTTAGAACTTGGAAATCCTGGCCTTAGAAAGAAGGTTGGCTCTTTAATAAATTTGTTAATAAGGTGGATCAGAGTAGAGTCAGTGGAATTTTCAATTATAACATCTAAAAGACTAAAACTTCATATAAAATATTAATGCTAGTGAAATTCCAAATCTATGCTTTTTGAAGGATAATATTGTTTGACTCCAAGCCACCGATAAAAGGAAAAGGCCTCCACCCATAATTACCACAAACGTCTACACGACAATCAACATTTTAATCAAATGCAGGATTTATTTTGGATTTATTCATATTAATAGAAGTTAATGATTTAAATCAAATGCTAGGATATATTATAATCACTTTCACTTTGTTTAACAAATTACAGCAAAAAAAAAAACTCATACAACATAGAAAACATCTCCTTAACTCTCAGCCATCACAAACCCATTTCCATTGCACCATCAGATCATAGTGGGAAATATAATTTGATTTGTTTTTCTTCAAGGCTTCTTACCAAATGAGATCAAGGAACGCGTCCATATTTAAGATCCCGTTAAGTTCCCTGAACGATGGAGAAAATAGCATATCCGCTTATGACACTGCAGGGTTGCTCTTATTGAAGATATTCAAGGCAGTGGTGCCCCTCAATTCCCATCAACCCTTCAATGGATTGCAAATAATCAACTCCCAGATGGTTTCGGGGTGATGTGATATATTTTCAGCTTATGATCGCTTAATCAGCACCTTGCTTGTGTTGCACTAAAGACATGGAATATACATCACGATAAGTGTGAAAAAGGTATATAGAAACAAGCATTATATATATATTATTTAGTCTAAGGATCTCTTCCTAAAGACTTACATGAATCACGTCAACCTTTTGTCATGGCTCTAGGGTTTCATTTTTCAAGGAAAACATATCCAAGTCGAAAATGAGAATGTGCGACATGCCTGCGGCTTTGAAATTGTTTTACCTTCACTTCTAGAAAAAGCTCGCAGTTTAGAAATTGAAGTACCCGATCACTCTCCTGTCTTGCAAGATATCTATGCGAAGAAGAAATTAAGCTCAAAAGGTATAAAACTTTCAAACGTATCTTAACAATTTTTCACAATATTTTTTTTTTGTTTTTTTCTTCTCAAGTGAGGACTGAGGATACCACATCAATCATATAAGAGTCAATAAGTAATGAATTTACTTAGTTCTGAATATTTTTTATTTATTTTTACCATTATACTGTAATTTGTGGTTATTAAACAATCGTGTACGCGTGAATAGGTACCCAAGGACACAATGCACAATGTACCGACAACACTATTGCATAGCTTGGAAGGAATGCAAGACCTGAACTGGGAAAAGCTTCTAAAATTGCAATTCCAAGATGGTTCATTTTTGTTCTCTTTATCCTCCACTACCTATGCATTCATGCAGACTAAAAATGAAAATTGCTTGAAATTTTTAACAAAAGTTGTCCAAAGATTCAATACCGGAGGTATAGAAAAGTCCTTTGTCAATTATTGACTTGAAATTACTTTCCATACATGTCTGGTTTCTAAGTAATTTTGATCGATGTACTTTAATTTAGTACCGAGCACATACCCAGTTGACTTGTTCGAACATCTATGGGTGGTGGATCGCTTGCAGCGGCTGGGAATTTTAAGATATTTCCAACCGGAGTTGAAAGAATGTATGGATTATGTTTACAGGTACATATTATTCGCAAAAGAAGTAATTCTTTTACTATAATTGCAACCCATCTATGAAAAGGAAATTCCTTCTGCTAAAGGGTACTTAATTAAATTTCAGATATTGTACTGAAGAGGGTATTTCCTGGGCAAGAAATAGCAGGGTTCAAGATATTGATGACACAGCCATGGGATTTAGACTGCTAAGATTACATGGCTATGAGCTTTCTGCTGGTAAGTTTAGGAAATTAAATAAAAAGTTATCTGAAATTAGTACAATATTGTGTTGCATAGATTATCGTGGTCTTATTGTTCTTTCATTGACAAGATGTTTTTCAGAATTTTGAGAAGGGCGGTGAGTTCTTCTGCTTTGGTGGGCAATCTACCCAGGCTGTTACTGGAATATTCAACCTGTTTCGGGCTTCTCAGGTGCTATTCCCTGGAGAGAAAATCCTTGAGAACGCCAAGCAGTTTTCAGCAAAATTTTTAAGAGAAAAACTGGCAGCTAATGAGCTCCTAGATAAATGGATTATAACCAAGGACTTGCCTGGTGAGGTACGTGCGGAGGCAAATGTGTGTAAACTTTCATTTTTTCTGTTATATTTAGAAGTGCAGCCTTAAACTATTTTTGTTATTAAAGGGTAATGTTTTCGTATCAATACACTTATTACTTTAAAAATATATTACTAATTTAATTAACTTAATCCATTTTAATTAATATAATTAATATAATATCTTATATCATGACAACTTATTGGACACCTTAGGATATTAATTAATTCTATCAATTATATATATATATATATCAGACATTAATAATTGATAATAACAGGTTAACTTTGCATTGAAGGTTCCATGGTATGCAAGCTTACCTAGAGTGCGAGGCAGACTTTACATAGAACAAATGGTGGTGAAGATGACATTGGATTGGCAAGACTTTTACAGGTCTATCTTTTATTTCTTTATCCCTTATTTCATTTGTCTTGATTTTAACGAGAATCTTTATTTGTTAATGCATATGTGCGATGTATTATTGAGAGGAGCATCCTGATTAATTCAATGATTTAATTTATTATAATGGCTATATGATTACCCTACAGGATGCCCTACGTCAACAATAACATCTATCTTGAGCTTGCGAAATTAGACTACAACAATTGCCAAGCACGACATCAGATGATGGACAGTATGCAAAGGTATATATATACATATGATATTCCTTTTTCCAACAACTCAAATCATGTTAATTTTCCTCAAAA